GATGAAGCAATATAATCTAGAGGTAGATTGGAGAAGAAAAGTGCTAACGAATAGTTGTTGAAAGAATATAGAGATAGAATTATACCTCAAAATAGAAATTTAGCTCTTTTTATGATGGCTAAAGCATCCTTTCTAGAGATGATGTATGTTTCCTTAGACTTATAAGAGATATTGGATCCACGGACAAACTTCACATTTTGTAGTCTTTGAACAACATTTATATTGAGTAGAAAGATGTTTTTTTAGATGATTTACCTGTAGTATTATCACCAAAGAGTCAAGTAGATCACAAGATTGAGGTGATACCCAGAAGTACATCAACTTGCAAAGCTCCATATCGTTTGGCTCCAAACAAATTTGAAGAATGCAAAGCTCAAGTGAAGGAGATGTTGAGCAAGGATTTCATTCAATCAAGTGTTTCACCTTATGAAGCTCCAGTGTTATTTGTGAAAAAGAAGAATGCATCCATGAACTTATGCATGTCAATGCATGTATTGTGGATTGAATCAGAAAACAATAAGAAACAAATATCCATAACCTCATATGAATTATTTGTTTTATCAACTTCAAGGAGCAAAGTACTTCACCAAGCTAGATTTGAGTAGCGGCTACAATCAAATTCAAATTGCAGATGAAGATATTCACAAGATTGCTTTTTGTAGTATGTATGGATACATTTGAGTATCTAATGATGACTTTTGATTCACTAATGCACCAGCTACATTCATGAGATTGATGAACGATATCTTTTGTACTCATCTAAATAAATCTGTTATTGTTTTTCTACTTAATATATTGGTGTATAGCAAAACTTTGAATGATCATAAACGTCATTTTCAAAAAATACTTCAAGTTTTGAGAGAAAATGAGTTGTATGCCAAAGCTTCAAAATGTGAATTTTGCAAGTCGGAAGTAGATTACTTGGGTCATTGAAAAACCACTGCAGGAATCCAAGTAATGAGTGAGAAGATAAAAGTCATTCAAAAATGGATAACACCTAAGGATCAAACTCAATTAGAAAGCTTCTTAGAACTCATTGGATTTTATCGTAGATTTTTGAAATGTATTGTTTGTCTAGCTCAAGCCTTGATTTCCATGCTAGAAAAAGTTCAAAATGCAGATGAAGAACAACTCAAGATTTAGTTTTTCAAGCGTTGAAAGATGCTTTGTTACACGTACATATCTTCATATCTTCAAGTGATATGATCTTAACGGTGCTATCAAGTTGGCTACTTGCGCTTTAGGTACAACTGTGGATGGCAAACTTCAACAAGAATGGGAGGATGAATGGCATCCAGTTGACTTCTATTCTCAAAAGTTGATGGCAGCAGAACAAAATTACCACTCTACATAACGAGAAGAGTTAACCATTGTGTTGGCAACAAAAACCTAGAAGTACTACTTAGATGATTAAGAGTTTGTGGTGAAAGCCAATCATAATCCTTAGTTTATTTGGAAACTAAGAAGGATTTGTCCAAATTACAAATTTGATGAGCAGAGTGGCGTCAACGTTTCAACATGAAGATTGTGTATGTGGAGGGCAAGAAGCAACTTGTTCATGCTTTCACACGCATGCCTTGTTTGCAGAAGTGAAAATTTAGATTGATCGATGGAGCAAGATGACAATGCGTGGAGGAATGCAGGCTGAAAACTGAGAAATTAACTAATGGGAAAGTCCCCCAAAGGCAGAACCTTGGGCCTACTTAGTCTTAAGATCTGAGCAAGGATCTGGTCTAAGCAAAGGGTTTGAGTGATGACCGGCAAATAGATTGAAGATAGCCAAAGCTAGTATTGCAGCACGAAGACCAGAAGCGCGAATGGCAAGGTTGGCTGCAACGCGTTTGAGGACGCCAAAGACGCGTGCTAGACCAAAGAAGAAGGCCCAACGCCGGATATTAGTGTTATAGAGTTTGGAGAGTAGGGTAGCCATGTCCGAGGACATCTCATCTTTGACATATGAGTATGCAGTTGAAGAAGAGAATCTTCGGACTCCTAAGTGTGGATCTTCGGAGCTACAGTGTGAGGAACCTCTGAGGTAAGAAGCAAGATCTTTGGAGGAGAGTACGGCGACTTCAAGTCGAGGTCTTTGGCCTTTGTAGAAGAAGCAAACGTCTTTGGAGAAGAGAAGTAGATCTTTAGAAAAAGCAGACGTGCCAGAGTCGAAGACTAATGAGGAGCATGCAAAGGAGCTCACTCTAGGTCAGGATATACTAGAGCATGTAGTAGAGCAGATTGGAGAAACGGTGGTGGAATCCCCAAAGATTCCTTCACCTCAAATGTCTTCAGGGATGACGAAATCCAAAGTTGAGTTGCTCTACCTCCTTCGGCTTTTTGGTGAAAAAGCCGAAGGAGGTAGAACTTGGAGAAACGGTAGTGGAACTTAAGCTTTCTCTAACCCGGAAGAGAAAGAATTGACTAATCTAACTAACATCAGATGCCCGACAGTTCCGCTGGTCTTGAGTTCCATCAATCGCTGCTCTAGCGAGTCCAATTTCATCCACTTCAACGTTTGAACTTCCCACTCAATGAAACCGCGCAGACACCTTTCAACCTGCAAACGCAAACTGTTGGTTGTCTCCTCCTTCAACTACCAAAACGCCCATTCCGCCGCTTTTGCTCTTATCCGCGACGCCTCTAACTTCTGCTCAACCGTCTTCAACTGAACTCGCAGCCGATCGCAATCTGCATCCAATTTTAATCTACATTTGACCTCCAAAGACTTGGCAGTTTTGCACTCCGTCAATCTCTTTGCCCAACTAGTCAATTCAGCCTTGTGCTTCTTTGTCTGCTCGCCAAACTCGCCATAAGCTCATTTGCGTGTTGAATCTCTTTGTTGTGAGCTTCTGTTTGCGCCACCATTCTTCCTCAAAGTTCCATCCTCTCTGTCTTCATAGTAGCAATCTATTGCCGAAGACCTTTGATTCTCAATTCATCCTCCTCAAGAAGCTCCTTCTCCTTGACTAGGTTCAATCAAAGAACTTTGCACTCCATTTGCTTTGGCCGAAGTTGCTACTCACGCACCTTCAGACTTGCAGTCGCTGCTGCGCACTCTCCTGCCACTGTCTCCACATCTTCGTCGGTCTTCATCGAAGCTGCTCTCCTGCTTCGGATCTCATTCCTTAGCATCTTTACATAAAATACAGCTTCCTCCGACACTGCGTACTTCTCTCGTTTCCCGTCTAAGTACTTCAGCAAGGAAACTACATTGTACTGCAAGAGGTTAGGGAATGCGATTGCTACCTCCTTCGGCTCTTTCACCAAAAATCTCTTCTCGACTTTGGGTTTCGCCATCCCCGAAGACATTTGAGGTGAAGGAATCTCAAGGGATTCCACCATCGTTTCTCCAATCTGCTCTACTACCTGCTCCAATATATCCTAACCCAGAGTGAGCTCCTTTGCATGCTCCTCATTAGTCTTCGATTCTGGCATGTCTGCTTTCTCAAAATATCTACTTCTCTTCTCCAAAGAGAAGTAGATCTTTAGTGATAAGTTCTCCCGGGAGAACTTAGAGTTAGAGTTTCTAGGCGTGTTGCGTAGGCTAGGAAGGGACGGGAGCTTAGCGGACGTAGTAACCGTTGCGTCTGATGGTTTTGTGCCTGATGATGGCTCGTCTCGGGCGGTTGAGTTGTCTAGGAATTCATAGTGAATAAAGAGGCCCAAGTCTTTTACCTTGGGAGGGTTTTTTGTCAATTGATTTGTCTTGGCTGTCAATCTATGTCCATCGTGCGCGTTTGTGACATTGAGTCTGTCTGTCACGCTGAATGGTGCACTTCAGTTTGTCGAAGATACAGCATCTGAAGTCGCGAGTGTCCGATTTGAACGTTTCGAGTGCGCTTGGGGTTATTCGCGATTTAAGCAAGATTAAATTCGACTTTTCAGAGCAGTCGGCCGAGAGTGCAATTCTGGGAAGTTTCCCCCTGAAAACTAAGTGTAGAATAAGGTGCAATTCCTGCATGTTTTGATTGGACAATTTTCAGATTGTGTGTGTGATTATACTCTACTCTTCAGACCTTCGGCCGGAATAGAGCAGTGTTTTCTAGGAGTGACATGTGCCTAATAAGTAAAACTCTTCAATAAAATGTTAAGCAATGACAGTTCTTGACTCTTCGGTGTTGTTTTTGTCCCTGTTAAAACAAATCTGTACCATTATGCTCCATTCTGGTAGTTGTTTAATATTACATACCAAGCGTGCTAAGTTCCAATCTACTTTAATCTTACTCAAAGCGTTTGACAATTCTAATTCTAGATTCTCCTTCATCTCTTCCTAATCAGAGATGAAGGAATTGATGAGGTTCCTACCTAGTGCCACTGCCTCGCTACACCGATAGCTATCAACTCTGTCACTCTACAGTGGAAAGTGAATTCCATTTTTAACCCTGTCACTCTACAGTGGAAAGTGAATTACATTTTTAACCCTGTCACTCTACAGTGGAAAGTGAATTACATTTTTAACCGGCCAAACAAGTAATTCTGGAAAAAAAAAAAAAATAAGTTTTTGTAATAGAATAAGTAAAGTTTGTAGGCTAGTATACACTAACTACATGATAAGAAGTTGATGGACCGCGTGTTCAGTTGTTACTGGAGGGAGACGCCATTCGCAAGACAGTAGAGAATAGAGAGGAGACTCGTTCGTTAACGGAATTAACCAGACAAATCACTCCACCAACTAAGAACGGCCATGCACCACCACCCATAGAATCAAGAAAGAGCTCTCAATCTGTCAATCCTTACTATGTCTGGACCTGGTAAGTTTCCCCGTGTTGCCGCAGGCTCCACTCCTGGTGGTGCCCTTCCGTCAATGGAGAAATAGCAAGAGAGCAATTTGGTCGTGGACACGAGAAACGGACGTGAAGAGAGCGGAAGGCGAATGAGGAATGGCATTTTGAGGGTCACAGCAAGTTTCGCAGGGTCGGCGTTAGTCTGGTCGGCGGAGGTTTGTAGTCTACTCGTTGGGAGACTTCGGATGTTTTGAAGTCGGGAGATGGGTGGGAGAATAGCTTGAAGTCGGGAGATGGGTGGCAGGTTGGTGCTCATGCAATAGTTGGGAGGATGAGTGAAGGTAATAGTCGTGGAAGAGGAGGAGAATTAGTCGATTTGGCAAGGGACAGTGAGTGAGAGGTGGATTTAGGGTAAACACTGGCATATTGAGAATTAATGCGGGGACGAGAGCAGTAGTAACATGAGTGTGAGTATTTTGTCTCGGCCCCTCCTTCGTTCGCTCCTTCCTCGTCCTCTCGCTACTTGCCTTCTCCTTCTCTTTTCTCGTTTTCCGCTCCACCAAGCTTATCCTTCCAGCAGCAGCGCTCCTCTCCTTCCTCACCTCCTCCACCACCCGCGCAGGCAGTTTTCTGAGAAAGTCCTTATTCGAACGAGAATTTTGCTTGTTCGAACAAGAATTTTGCTTCTTCGCGAGAATTGTCGTTGCCTTGCCTCGCCACGCCTCGTTGGATTGTAATCTAAGGACGCGGTTTTGTTCTGCGTCGCCTTCTCGATGTCGCAATTCTTGGTATCTTTTGTTCGTGTCCGAGATTGGTGATCGGCTGCACTTCTTCGTATTGTCCGTCGGTCGGTCGGTCACTTGTCATTTTCAAATCTTGCCGAGGCTCTTGTTTGTTTGCGCATGGTTGTGGAAGTGCCGGGAAGTTCTTCTTCTCATAGGCCACGGCATCATCAATGGGAACGTCTGTCCACGTTAAGAAAACCAATTCCGGGCTTTCTTCTTGGCGGAAAGGCTGCTTTTCATCGAGCCCGATTAAATTGCTAGCAATTGAACTCGCATTTTCAGTGTAGCATGTGACGCGTGTGAGGCGCCGTATTGGGGAACTCAATCTTTGGCGCTTGATTACTCGGAGCAGGTTTCAAATAGGAACCGACTGCTCACCTCATGTGGCACCTTGTTTGTTGGGTTAGTAACCTCGGCTGAAATCCACTCTGAAGTCAGTAGGGTTTGTCGAGGGAGTGTTCTCGGAGAAGAACAAGAACGGAGACAAAGAATTGGCAACTGAAGTAAACCGCAGTGATGCAAGATAAAACAGATTCAAAAAATGAGGAGATTGACTGGATGCGGAGGCCTAAGATTCTCATTGAATCTGTAGAAAATTGGAGAAAATCCAACAGCCATTTTGGCGGTAGCCTCACCGCTCGGCGGCGATCTTCTACTTCATGGACCCCCATGGATGGAGGAGAAGAGGTTTTGAATGTTTCGTCCAAGTCGCCGCCGGATGAAGCTGCTGTCGCAGGGCCGATGAAGGTAGATGAAAGGCTGCCAGCCATGGGCAAGTCCACCGAGTTTGAAAGATCTTCGACCAGAGCAGGTGTTCGGAATTTGTTTCTGAAGGAGCAGAGGGCCCGTCTTGCTGGAGGAGGATCCGTCGGCACTGAGTTAAAATAGGGTGCTCACACACCCATGATGTCGGCGATACATCCACACATCTTCAGCTCGGGTGTGGATCGAGCAGTTCGTTGAACTCCACGAAGGCGGGTGAGCGGTCAGAGGGAGAGGAGCGAGCCTGAGGTGACGGAACGACACTGTGCTCATCGCGTCGCAGCAGAGAGCATGGTCATGCTGAATCTCTGAGCTTGCGGTCTTGCGTCGCAGGATGTGGCTGAAACCCAGGACAAGTTTTGCAATTGCCAAATGCAAATCATGCACGGAGTGCAGAGAGAACAGTTTTTTACCTTTTACCTTCCATCGGGGCTCGCGCGGATGTGATGTGGTGGTGGTTTTGAGTTTAGAACAGGAGAGTTGGATCAAGTGCGCTCGCTAAGGGGGGAGAGTTTTGGAGGCCGTAGCAGCATGGACTGAAATCCTGTCCCACGGCACAAATCTATTGTTTGCAGTATTTGGGTGGAGCAATCGACCGAGTTTGGATTCCACGGTGCCTACGGACAGAGCACTCCACGAGCAGCAGCCACGACAACAGCTTTAGGAGCTTGACAAGACGGCAAGGGCGATATTTATGTGCTAGCGATGCGGCAGTGGATATACTTTGGCTTGAAGAAGTAGAGAAAGCAGACCGGGGGAGTCACCATGGCCATGTTGATAGCAATTTTTTTGAATGCCTTGCTCTTTTCCCTTAGTATCATCCACGGGAGTAGTATTTGGGCCGAAGCAGTAGATGGTTATGCCTCGAGTGAAATGGCTTGGGCGGGCAACTCAGGCGGTAGGTGTGGAGACGTGAGCCTTGGGGCGCCGAAGAAAATGAAGTACACTCGTCAAGCTGAACTGAAGGCGAGATGTCCGGCTTTGACATTGAGAAGCGAGGAAGCTCCCACGCGCACCAAGCGGCGGCGACTGCTGATGCAAAGATTATCATTTAGAGACGGGAATTGGGAGCAGGGAGACCGAGTGTCTGCATTGATGCCATTCAAGCCATCCAATCAGTTTGCGGATTTGGAGTATGTGCCCAGAACTCAGCTCGCCTCGTTTTGGGTAACCAATGTCGATAGAAATCAGCTACTCGTGTGCAATGTGGCTGGCATGGTAGAGCTTTCTATCACGGATGGGTCTATGTCTATTTTACACAAAAAGCCGTCTTTGTACAAGTTATGACCTTGATCAACCGCGAGCTACTGCCGCGACAAGTTTTCAAGGGACGAGTAGTGATAGCCAGTTCATAATGTATCCAGGGCTGTCGACTCTGTCCATCGAGCTTGAGGGAGTCTACCAACAGGCTCAGAACGAGGACGTCCTCTGTATGCTAGGTTGCGCGTTTCTGCCATCCCCAGACTCTGGCATTTTGTGGTCCAATATGCAAACTTTTCCTGGAACCAAGCAGCTGGTGAAGGATTGTAGCATCATGCTCCAGCTGCACTACCCGCTCACCTTCAATCTCACCTCTCGAGTCATTCGGGGAGAGCTGAAAAGCCTGAAGAGTCTCGAGGAGCCTTTCTACTTCCTCCCAGTATTTTTGTCATCTCAAATCACAGCGGACTCGGTGTACGAGAGTACACCGAAGGACATCGTAGCTTCGGCCTGCAATTCCGAAGATCAAACTGCCAAGTACGTGGACATTTACAAGCCGATCGGGATGGAGTTTTGCAAGTTAGCCAAGGAATACCTCTCGTAGGGATGGATGGATATAGACACCAATTGGAATTGCTCTGTTTCTCAGGAGTTTTGCGGAAAGATAGGGCCCTTCGTTCCGTACTCAACGGCTGGGCATTACGTCAAGGCGCAAGATTACAATGCAAGCAAGGCCCAAATTATGGTACAAAACTTTCGATTCCCGTGCTTCACCAAGGAAGAGACGGTAATTTTTGTGAGTTCCGTTTTCCGTCTCATACCTGTCGACGAGACCAGGAGCGTCGCGTTTGGACGATCGGCCTTGGATGGTCAGACCATCGTGACGAAAGGCTACTGGATGAATGGATCCGACCACCTTTGTATGGTCAGATGTTCCTTGAATGATAACACCGGTCAGGCGGACCTCTGCAACATGAGTTTGTATCAGCATACCTCTCTCACTCACTATCAAGCATTGAAATATCTTCGAGGGCATCATCAACAGCACTCTAGCCGAAAAGGCGTTCCATCCTCTTTCTTTTCACGTCAAACTCGACTTCAATCGAGGTTTTCCATGGAGGTTGAGTTCTCATCTGCACTACAATTATACGAGGGTAGATGATGCTGGAGTCCTCTTGGAGAAGGATGAAGTGGTATCCAAATCCTTCCATTCAAGCTGGTTGAATTACCCCAAACTTATCGGAGAATCACTAGCTCACTACAGAGTACTGTCGGAAGACCTGAGCTTGCAAACCACATGAGCTTGGGCAGTAAGGACCTTTCGTACATCAAATTTGACGTGGTGGCGATCGACAATTATCTTCCTTTCTTGTGGTAAGGCTGGATCCAGACAGGCATCGTGGAGGCCGGATTGGTCGAGATGTCAATTGATACCATCCAAACGGAGACGGATCCACGGGTCACAAATCGGGTCAAAGAGAATCGGCAGTATCTGAACATCGCTGGAACACTATCAATCAGGCAACCATTCGAGCGGACGGAGATGAAAATCTCCACTGAAGGTCAGTACAGTCCAAAGCACGGTAAAATGTACATGGTGGGTTGCAAGAGCGTAACCGCTCAATGGGAAACCATCCGTGAGTACTACTGGTCTTTGGACGAAGGCATGGATTGCAAGATTGAGGTGATGATTACTTACCCAGCAACCATTGCTTCTTGGCTCTCGGATCCGACTGTGAAAGTGTTGGTGAAGAGTAAGCGCGTTGAGGACAGCCCTTTCCACTTCCAAGACATCAAAGTGCAGACTGAACGCATCCTGTACAAGAAGCAGCGAGAACAGCTCGTCTCTCATAAGAGTGTGGAGAGGGCTTTGAGCATGCTGACTCTCAGCCTCATGCTGGGGTGCATTATTAGCGGGCTACTTTACCTCGGTCATCAGGTCGACTCTACTCCCTACGTCTCCTTGGTCATGATCGGCATTCAGGGTATGGGGTACGCAATACCTCTAGTCACTAGTGCGGAGGCCTTGTTGACAAGAAAATTTGACTACCGAAGACATAGCTTCCTCTGTTGAGACCGGGTGGGCTCGAATGATTGTTTATCTCAACAAAATTTTGATCTGGTTGCTTTCCTTTTCATGGTTCGCTCATTGGAATTAGTGTGGAAGCGCCGAGCCTTCATGCCGTCTGCCCGCTCACCGCGCGAGCAGTTCGGGCAGATCACCGACAGCCCGCCGAGGTCTAGAAGCAGACCCCCAAAACCGACCCTCACAGCCAATCCTTTTCCCTAAATTACGGATCTATTTTGCCAACTTCCCGTACCTACATTCTTTTTTATCGACTAGAGGCAGTGCACCTTGGAGACCTGATGTGGTTACGAGTACCGATCGGAGAAGGAGGAGCATCTTGGGTTCACAAGGGACCAGACGAGTAGGCTCTAACGGGGTTTCCATGATGTCCGGCGGAGCCCACCGTTCAAGTAATTCTAGGAGAAGGTTACGTACCGGATAGAAGGGCAACGATTTACGATGGGGCTCAGTTGCACCCGGTTAATCCGGAAGTTAGCGGCGGCCACTCAAATAAGCAGCGGCCATCGATCCGAAATTGACGAGATACTAGTTGGTCACTTGTAGGAGATAGTATTTAATCTGGGGGGCTTTCTCATGGCAGAGTCATTTTTATGTATTCCATTTTGATTTTTGAAATTGAGAACATACCTATAGCTTTAATGTGAGGCCTTTTTCTTTACTCCGTTTTGAGTTTTGAAATTGAGAACATATTTATAGCTTTAATGTGTGGAACGGTGGTCGAAATAGGTCCATGTAATGTTGTCTTTGATAGATCTTTGGCAAGAGTGTTGAATAGTATGAGAATCTGGAGAGCGCCCGGAGTGAAAGGAAAGGTGTCATGTGGAACGGTGGTCGAAATAGGTCCAAGTACTGTTGTCTTTGATAGATATTTGGAAGAGTGTTGAACAGTATGAAAATCTGGAGAGCGCCTGGAGTGAAAGGAAAGGTGTCATGCGTATAATGTTGATGGTTTCCAACCTCCTCAAGGAGCTAGAGGGGAGGGAAGACTTACTGCAACAAGGGCTGGTAGCTTAAGGACACGGGGCACGTCATGTGTACACCAGACTCCTGGATAGGGCCGGTTGCTTCCTGATGAAAGGATTAAAGCCAGGTTACTAACTGCAAACCAGTTGTGATTATGTTATTGTCTAAAAGGGGGTAAATTGTAGATCTTCGTGGGAACTAACGCGTAGTGATTTACTTTGAGAGATATTTAGTGTGAACTAAGTGATTTTCGAAGGAATACTCATACCACTTCGTGCTACATCGGGGCTCCAGCTCATTTAACTTCGTCCATTTTAGAGTCTGGATCTTCCACTCCACATAATCACAAAGGCATCGGTTTACCTTCGCACACACCGCAAATCTGTTTGCTTTATTAACTGTTGGACCGTTGATTTCGTTTTCAACAATTTTGACTCAGTTGTGATCAACTGCTCCTCATCTGTTGACAGTTGAATTCGCAATTCATTGCAATCTTCATCCAATCTCTCCCTCTACTCTAACTCCGAAGATTTGGCAGCTTCGCAATTCTCCAACTCCTTCATCTTCGCCTTCAATTCAGTAACGTGCACCTTCTGAGCATTGCTAAAGTCAACCCGAAGACCCACGTACTCAAGCTCCGCCTTTGTATGAAGGTACTTCTTTGCTCCTAGACTTCTCCAAAGTTTTGCACACTCTAACTCTGATTGCCGAAGTCGTTTCTCCTGCTCTTGCAAGGTAGCCTCCACGGTCGCGCACTCAGAGGTCAAGCTCGTCACTCTTTTGATTATTTCTATTGATGCTGCCACCTTCGCCCGCGTCCTGCTATGTACTAATTCTACGTAAGATCCCGCTATTGTTGGCTCAGCGTACTTTGACATCTTCCTATTTAAATATCTTAGGAGAAGAATCACTCGCTCATCCAACATATCCGCTGCAATGAGTCCGGCCGACTTGGGTTCTTCAACCAAAAGCCTTTGCCACAATCCAAATTGATTGTATCCGAAGACACCTGATCCGAAAGTATCAGCTGTTGTTTCTCAATAGTTTTTTCCACGTCTTCCACTACACGATTGTGATAACTAACAAATATCAAAATGGAACATAATGGTAAAGATTCGTTCTCATAAAGACAAAGACAACATCAAGAGTAACGATTTGGCACTAATTAACATTCTATTGAAGTGTTTTATTTCTCAGGCACATGTCACTCCCAGAAGACATCGCTCGATTATGGTCAAAGGTCCGAAGAGCAGAGTATATTCGTCCACACAACTTGAAACTTATCCAATTGACACCTGCAAGAATCGCCTTCGACTCCGCACTCAGATATCAAAAGTAAACTTCCTAGAATTGCACATTTCCCGACTTACAAACCCGAATGTCCAAACCCGAACTTGCTTAAATTCCAAATAGCTCAAGGCTTACTCAAAACATCTGAATTGGACAATCGCAGCTCTAGATGCGGCAACTTCAACAAACTAAAGCGCACAATGCACGCTGACAGAACACACAAGATCACAGACGCTGACAACATATATAGATTGACATCCAAGACAAGTCAATTGACAAAAAAGCCCCCTAAGGAAATAGCCTTGGGTTTTTGTATTCACTCTGAACTCCTAGACATCTCAACCAACCGAGTCAAACTATTCTCAATTGCAGTGCCATCAAACAGCGGTTGTAGCGTCCTTTGAGCTTCCATCGACTCCTAACATCCGCAACACTCTTACAATCTCTATCTCTCGATTCTCTCGCGCCTCTTCCAATCTAGAAGAGAAAGAATTAACTAGCTTAACAAAATGCTTGTGCCCTACGGCCCCGCTAGTCTTCATGTACATCAAACGTCGCTCTAGCGAATCCAATTTCAACCACTTCAGTGTTTGAACTTCCCACATCACAAATCCGCGCATGCACTTATCTACACGCAACCGCAAACTATCGATTGTCTCGTCTCTCAGCTATTGATACGCCACCTCTGCCTTTTTCACTCTCGCCCGCGACTCCTCCAACTGCACTGCAACTAACTTTAACTGCCCTTGCAACCAACCACAGTCCGATTTAAATCTTATTTCACATTCGAGCTCCAAAGATCTGGCCGATTCGCAATTTGCCAATTTTTAAGCCTAATCAGCTAATTCGATTGCGTGCTTCCGGAGTTCCTTCGCCAAACTCGCCGTAAGCTCATTCGCGCGTTGCAGCTCCCTACTATGAGCATCGGTGCGTTCTCCAATCCTTCCCCTTAGCTCCATTTGCTTCGTCTTCACCGCAGCAACATGTCTCCGAAGATCTTCGGCCTTTCGTCCCTCTTCAACTCTACACTCCTTTTCCTTAGCCAACTCCGTTGCATGCAACTGATCGCGCTTCGTCGAAGCAGCAGTCAATTCATCCACGCGACGCGATTTCGCGGTGTAGCCCACCTTGGATGCCTCCAATCTATCACAAAGGTCTATTGTTGCCTTTTGCGCATTCTCATTGTCAATCCAAAGACTCGTGCACTCCTGCTCTATCGACGCACAAAGATCAGTCTCTTTAGTCAGGTTCAGCCGAAGGACTTCGCATTCTATTTTCTTCGCCCAAAGAGGGTACTCTCGCTCCTACAAGGTCATCCTCATGGTCGCGCACTCGGAAGACAAGCTTGCAACTCGTTCCTTAGCCATTGCAGTTGCGGACACCCATTCCCTCTTTACTGCTACTGCTCTCTCGATCAGAGTACTATTCCTCACTAACTCTACATAGAACCCTATTTCCTTCTCCACAACATACTTCTCTCTCTTCATATTCAAATATTTCAAAAGGGGTGTTACACTATACTGCAAGAAGTCGAGGAAGGAACCAATTGCCTCCCTCGGTTCTCCCACCGAAGCCTTCTTCTCCGCTTAGGGTCTTACCTCTTCCTCTGGCAGTGGGGACGATGAAATCTCGGGGGCGTCTACCATTGTCCCACCAACCAGTGCAACTACCTGCTCGAGTATCACTGCCAGCTCTTCACTTGTCTTTGGTTGTGGTACTTTCTCACTCTCCATAGTTCGCATCTGCTCCAAAGGTGAAAGACATAGACTAATTGTCGTCGTCCTTTCCTCCGCAGGTTCTACTACTACTTCCATTGAAACTTCAGCCTGTAATCCCGAAGATCCTTTTTCCACTGCCCAAAGAGTAGGCTCCTCCCTCTTCTGTTTGTCTATCGTAGAGGCAGCTGCGTTCGACTTCACTACACTACTTTCTGAAGAGTCGGACACAACTCTCCTACGATTCGCTTTCATCTTTGGCTTGGCCCAGGTCTTCGACATCCTAATCTCCGTCACTTGCATTTCGGCCATCCGCGACTCAAATCTTTGACCTTCTCCACTATCGGTGATTACCTTCCGTCTCTTCACTGATCTCCTTTCAGGCTGTTCCTTGATCGAGACGACATCCACCTGAAGTGGCCTGCGTGATGTCCTTCGAGGTGGCTCTTCAAGTTGGACATTGTTCTCCTCGTCCGTGTCTTCGCTTGAGTCGATTGCCAACACCTCCTACTCTTTCGGAAATTGCTTCTTCTCATCCTTTGTCAATAACCTCATCCCTCGATAGAAATTCACTAAGTAGGGAATCATGTGGTTAATCAAACCTCCTATCCATCTGATGCTGACATTGGTCCAAATCAGGTCGTTAAAGATCTTCGCCGAATGAATTCGTTCTCCCTTTAATGCGCGTTCGAAGAAGCCGACCTGCCATGCGATGACGTAGGTCGTGCTTTGCGGTCGTAGAATATGCATTACTCCTAATGCAATCGCACGCCTCTTTGGGTCCTTGTAATCTGCCATCTGCCACCCGTTCGTTCCCAACCTTGCGTTCTTGAAGAGTGGAGCAAACATAAATAATTCCGCGCTCGTAATCTGGACACTCTCCTTCTCAAACATGTAGTCTTCATCTTTCCTTGCACACGGTCCTAGAACCTTCATCCAGTGGTCAATTGTCCACGGCATCGGATTGCCCTGGAGATCCTAAAATGCCGACTAAGTTCGGTCCTTTCTTCTTCATCTCCCTCGTTACGATTCTTATCCATCATCTCCTTGCAGATGGTCGCCGAGACGCAATTCCAATCCCATAGCAGGAAATCCCAATGTAGTTCGACGAGCTCTCGCCGATAGAAATGCAACTCCGCGTAGGGCACCTTAATCGAGATCAATTTCCGCACCTTAGCTGTCGTGGGTGGCGTCATGTCTCCAATCGCGTCTTCGTTGCTATCAAGGTCGATCGATTGCAATTCTCACTCTCTCTCAATGTCACGATGTCGGCGCGAATGTGTTCGTCTTGTGCCCTTACCCTCGACGCTCTAACGTTTCCCACACGCGCGAGAATTGATACTCTCAACGTGTGCGGATTTTGACCAGCCCTTCGCGAATTCAAATTAAGATTCGTTGTTTTCGCCGAAGTTCCGGCTATTGCATCATCAAAAATGGCTGCGCCAATGGTCCAAAGGATCAAAGGTCTTCGGCCGAAGGCGGATTTCATTTCCCTTCTCCTAACTAACTAAATCTCCAATAATTCTCCTAACTTCTATGACTAAGGACTTATATGTATACGTTCTACTACAAATATGTTTAAGTTTTTGTTATTTATTTAAAAATCAAGAAA